CCACCCTGTATATATATATATATATATATATATATATATTATATATATATATATATATATATATATATATATATATATTTGTGTACCTCGAGGTAAAGGACACTATGTCCATTTTTATCGAAATTTAGATTATTGCACTTTTGAATATAACTTTTCTGGCTCTACACATAGGTAAACCATACTATGTCCAGAGACAATTTTACGGCAAGTTACCGACTTTTTAATAAATGCCAAGTCCACTTCCAGTCAGAGGTAAACAACACCATGTGGACTTGGTGTTGTTTACCTCTAGTAAATGTGTGCATTGTCATTTACCAACCGGACATAGTGTTATGTACCCTTGTACCTGGCGGAATTGTCATGAACTAAAGTCATTGCAACCTTTTTATTTAGATCGCAATTGTGTTAGATTGATAAAAGTTGTACAATAAATTCGTTGTTTAATAATTGTAAAATGGATCCGAACTCTCGTGGAAAAAGTATATTACAATTATTGTCATGTAATATTCCAAATAAAACAACACTTACAGGTAATCTATTGTTTTTTAACACATCTTGTATTTTTCTAACCTCAAATATTTAGTATTGTATATTCTTTTGTATAGGGCTCAGAATTTCAAACTGTACATACATTTTTTGTATCTATCGTTAAAATAAAAGTATCAGTTAGTATGATTTTGTTACTAGTAAAGAATTTTGTCTGTTTTTTTAAATGACCATAATATGGTATGATTTTTGTCAGTTATTTATGTAACCTGGTCACTACAGTAACTTCCAAGGTAATGCTCTGAAAGATTGCCAGAATACGAAAGACAAATAATTTTCAACTCATACCGGACTGAGACAAAGGTTTCAGATGTTAAAAAGCAATTTATCTTCTCATGTGTCGACATCCAACCTACTCTTCGATTAAGAAAAAAAGACCTAAATTCTACCAAATCTAAAAATAATACACTACACTACCATTTTACAGTGAACAATCAGCGATTGAGGGTGTGCAAGATTATTTTTTTAAACACACTTTGTATATCTAATTTAGTAGTAGTAAATATGTTGAAAAAAATTGAGCCAGGAGGTTTAGTAAAAGCTGATCAAAGAGGTAGACACACGCTAATCAATAAAACTCCTACCGAAACCATAAATAGTATACATCAACATATTAAATCATTCCCAAAGTGCGATATTCATTATTCCAGAGAAAGGAGTAAGAGAGATTATCTTGGCACAGAACTTACGATAGAAATGTTGTATCAACTGTACATTGATGAATACAATGAGAGACATGTAGATCCAAGGCTCAGAGTAAAAAAGTAATTGGACGCAGATATTTTTAATAAAGACTTCCAAGTTTTCGTTTAAACCACCCGAAATAGACACTTGCGATACATGCAGTACATTCACCGCTCAATTGAAAAATAATCTTACTGCAGATAAACTAACCAGTGTACAGGCTGATCATGATACTCACCTAATTGAATTTAAAACTCGGTATAACTTACAACAATTGGACTTTTTAATGGCTAAAGAGTCACCAAAACACAAAGTACTATCTGGTGAATTGCAAAAATGTTTGCTTTCACCACTAACAAATAATTGTATTAGTTTCTACAAAAGGAAGCATTTGTAGAAGCAGTGATTCTTCTGTACAATGTATGATGTGGGACGAATCGAAAGGGTTCCGAGGTGCAAATGAAATTGCCTCGTGAATTTTGAAATGGACTGACAATACAATTCCAGGTAGTCAAGTAAAGGACATCACTCTTTGGACCGATAACTGCTATGGACAAAATAAAAATATAAGTATTATAATGTGCTTTTTTTGGATACTGCGTACGTACCCTCAAATAAGGACGATCACTCAAAAGTTTTTACTGAAAGGGCACACAGATATGGAAGCAGACAGTGTTTATGCTTTAATCGAGAGAAAAAGGAAAGAAACTCTCCAATTTGGCCATTTTAACACCATGGGACTGGCAACAGCTAGTTAGGCAAACATCAGGTAAATACACAGTGCACAATATGGAACTTGCAGATTTTAAAAACTTCAAAACGCTGTTCGATAAGAAATTGTCACATAATCCTCCTTTTGTAAGTAGAAAAAAGAATGTTAATGAAGAACACATTGGAAAGCTCTTTTATAAGACCGATTTCAATAATCAAAATATGTATGAAGTAGACTTCATGAGGTATCGAAGACAGCAAGTAACGTTTCCAGCTCAATTAAATCAAGTCTCAGTAAATCCACTACCAATCAGAAAACAAAAGTTTAATGACTTTATTACCTTATTGCCTTTTTCCGTCAGTTTGTCATGCATTTTATCAAAATTTAACACATAGCGATGTAGCCACAAACGATTACCCACAAGAAGATGAAGATGATATGGAGCCACTTTAACAATTTTGAAACTTGTCTATAATTTTACTTTATTTAACTTTTATTAATTTAATCATTATAACATTATGATATTTACCTCTAATAAAATAATAGTATAGGCTGTTTAGTGTATTTGTATTGTTTATTTCGTAGAGACCTTAACATGCAATGTCACATTATTTAAAAAAGTTATTAGAGGTAAACAACACTATGTCCAACTACACATTTAAAAAAAAAAATTATATAATGAATGGTAAACTTCAAGTACATAACCCTTCATGGAAGGAAAAACGATTATACACACAACAATAATAATATATTAATATTGGTTAAATATAAGAAGTTTAAAAATTTAAAAAATGTTAAAAGTGCTCTTCTGAAAAAGTGAGAAAATGGATGCAGTGTCCTTTACCTCCAAGGTACGTATATATATATATATATATATATATATATATATATATATATATATATATATAGATAGATAGATAGATAGATAGGTTTATTGACAATTTTTACATAGTAAACACTACATGTCATGTCACAATAAAAATAATTTACTTTTGTATACTAAGAACTAAGAAATAATACAAGAACCATGTAATAAAACATATACAGTGAAAATTAGATATATAAAATTATAACAAATAAGAAAGAAACATTTCAGTAAGGCGTAATATAGTTTTCATTAAAAACGACCACACTAGGAGCTCAAACAAACAAATTCCTGTATACTATAGAAACAGTGTTCCAGCAGGAAGTGTATTGCTAGTTTATAAAATTGTTTAGAATTCATTGCCTTAATATCAATATTTTTGTTTAAGTTTAAAAAACAATTATACAGATTATAATCTATTGTATTAAGTTGTGTAACACACAATCTGGAATATGGTATAATGATATGACTTTTATTTCTTGTATTGTAATGATGTTGATCAGCATGTGATTTTACATCTTTTATATTATTATGAATAGTTAACAAAGTTTTAAATATATATATTGAAGGTAAAGGAAGACTGCCATACTTCTTAAATAAGGGTTTACAGCTGGCGCGATATTCTGCCGAGTCAATAATTCGGATTGCTGCTTTTTGAAAAGTGAAAACTTTATATGCATAGGACGAGTTTCCCCAAAGAAGTATGCAATATGTCAGGATACTATGAACCATTCCAAAATAAACTGACCTAAGAATATCTCGACTCACAGAAGTAGCCAATCTGCGCATTGCAAAAATCTGTGAGGCGATCACCCTACACAATTGTTCAATATGGTGCGACCAGTTCAACCTTGTATCCATAGTAACACCTAGTAACTTTACTGGTTCAGATGGTGTAACCCATCTATCAGAACTAAATACGATTGTCTGGGTTTTCGGCTTGTTTAACTTAAGTTTGTTACAGTTAAACCAGGATTATAATATATATAATATTATATATATATATATATATATATATATATATATATATATATATAAAACTATTTATATATATACATATTTCATCGCCTATTTTTCCACAAGTACAATTGAGTTTGATAAGCTGATTCCATGCATGTAAGATGGCGTAAGAGCATGACTTGCTCTCAGCTGATTAATGGTCTTTATAAAATGTTGATTAGATTCTGTGTGGAACCATCTTCTTGGGGGTATCCTAGTGTTACAATGATAAAAGTTTAAGCCAGTCTTACATTCTCTGTAATGTAAATGCCAATTATTTGTCTACTAACGGTGTCAATATCTGTCGCTGGAATGAAATTTTTGTGTACTTTTTTTCCAAGCATATATGCTGATTTAGCCAAATTGACAACGATTTCATTGTCTTTTATTCCTGAATGGCCCTTGATCCATATAATTCTTACATTTAATCCTAATTGTACAGTTTCATAGAGAATTTTAAGAAATTTCAGTTCAATGTGGTTTATGTGTTTGAATGTTGTTAAATCTGTAGACCACGCTTTTACTGTCAGTAAATATAACATAGTTGCTAGTCGGATTCAGTACTACATACTGAAGAGCAAACATTCTTGCCATCATTTCTGCTGTGTATATTGAGCATTCACTGGGTAAACTATACTGGTGATTTATCTAAGTTAACTATACAGCCCGTTTCTACTTGCATCTTTTGATCCATAAGTAATCCATAGTAAAAATGTACTGATAATTTGTCCATTTTTATTTAATAATTATATCAAACATATTTGGGAGTAAATGTGAGTTTAAGTAACATATTTTAACCTTTCTAGAAAATCGTGTTTTTACCATAACACCGTAGTAATGCGGTGATATAATTGATATATCTCTGACTTACTTGTAAAATATAGTATGTCAGATACAACTGTCAAAACATGACATGTATTCTTATTGCCATTGTTTTCATACCTTGCTTTTTTTTGTTTCTATAGTTAAGTTATAATATATTTTCTAATGTGTGCATAAATTCCAATGTAAATAATTTACATTTTATAATTTAGAGCCTCAAGTCTGTCAAATGGTTTGTACTAGAGATATATTACAATGGGTGGTTCCTCATGATAGAAATTGAAGGAATGATAACCATTAAATTTCATGAGGACAGAAAGAAGCAGCATACCTATTGTTAACAGAGAGAAGATAAAATAGAATTGTACTTGCCAGCCATTTGTTGCAACTTTTGTTGAATAAATTCGGGTGTGACCTCTGTATTTGGATCAGCACCAGCTAGGAAATTAGCAAAATTTTCTTCAAACTGATTTGCTGCTTGCTGTATGAAATCATTGGACCATTCTTGACCTTCAACATTGGCACTATTTGAAGTACTAACCTCTTTACTGGAGTTGTCAGTCTTGGCATCCTTTTGATTAGATTCGATCTTTGTGAAGTCTTCTAATGCACCTGAATAAAAATATATTAGTAAGGTATAATTTTGATTATGTAATCAACTGTACTGTCTAAGAGATTCGATAATTCTTCGTCTACATTAGTTTTTGGTATATCTTCCTTTTTGTCGGTCATTGTTATTACGTAGGAAATGGTGCAACACTACTGTGATATATATTAATAATTAATATCCTTATCAATTAATGTGATATTAGTAAAGTGATTTTTCTAAACCCTAAAATTTTAAACAGTCACGTATATTGCTGTGTGTACTGAATAATCAATTTGTACTGTACATAACATGCAATTAACTAGTTACAAAAATATAATTGATATTAAAAAACATTAATGTCCCCCAGAATCACATTTCCACCTGATTTGGAGTGTCAGTGTCACTGTCACGTCACTTCATTTCACTTCACTGTCATCAATCAACATCAAGTTCTTCTTTTTTCATTCATTTATTTGGCATTAGCGGACGATTTTCCTATTTGGTCCCATTGAAGTTAGCCTCAAATTAGCTGTCAATTAAGTTTCATAGAACGAAATATTGCGTTGGCAGTGTTGCCATGTTCTTAGAATGTATATGTTAAGCTGGATTTATAGTTTGACGCACTGTAGACGTAGACGTACTGGAGACGTAACAAACGGACTGTAAATATAATTTCAATTTATAAATTGACGGAGTGGAATTTTTGCGCATGAGTAGAAACAGCGGCTAGAGTTGGTGACCATGATATTATAATATCATTTTATTATTTATTATTATTATTTTATAAATTCTTAACCTCCATTGTAACAAATAATCAACAAAATAAAAATTCTACTATGTTAATAAGCAACTTTACAAAATTGTGGGCGTGCCAGACCACAGAAGGTAGGTGATCTGTGTGCCAGACAGTTCATTTTGGTTGACAGCACAAAATTCTTCCTTTTGATTGGCCAGACGCAAGTAACGCACTGTAAAAGTTGAAAGTTGACCAACTCTTCCGTTACAGTGCGTTTCGCTTACGTCCCGTCTTGCGTTTACGTTCATTTATAAATAAGAGTACACAAAAGTCTATGTTGATCTTTTTCCAGTGCGCCTGCGTCTACAGTCCGTCAAACTATAAATCCAGCTTTATATGCTTCAAATACAAAGAGATAAAGCTTTTAAAAGGTACATTTTTATCATATTATTTTATAGATTCTGCAATTTTATACCTTATATAAAATATTAATAACGTAATATTTGTTTCGTTTGATATTAGTTGTAATAAATTATTAGAAAATTTTTGTGGCAGTTGCCCTTTGATAGATTAGCGGATAGATTTGGCAATAGAGTCAGAACCCTCAAACCACCAGCTGCCAGATTGCAACAGATGCCTTTTAAATTTTATTATTTATACTGATATTTTACTATTTACTGTTAAAAAATGTTTTAAAACTATTTACTATTTCTTTTTTTCGTAATCGGTTAATATTAGTTTTTAAATATCTTATTGCTTTGAATTGCGTATATTTCATTTGTATTGTAAATTTCAACACTGCGAAACACCAATATTTCATTCTGTCAAACCCATTTGAAGCTATCTTCAATGGGACCAAATGTGAAAATCGTCCGCATTAGCTACCGGCCAGGATCTTTGTATTAATTATGATTGTTGAAGAGCCGTACCACAGAATAATAAACAATCAGAATACCCACTCTGCTTGTCAAGATAAGTACGCACATCTCGTTCGCGCAGACGGAATCAGCCATGTTTTAAACGGAACCGCTGTTCAGTGACATTTTATCTAGTGTGCATAGAAAAATTAACCCAGTTTAATTTAGTTAGGGCAACTATAGAAATAATATGCACTATTTTATTCGTACTTTTAATTGAAGAATAGATTAAATGTTTGTGTTTTCCGACAGTACAAGCATCGTACAAGCTGATTATAGCCGCAAATGTCAAACATGGGACAAAAAATTTCTGTATAGCAGTGTTGACATGTTTGTATAATGTAGATGCTGTATGCTTCAAATATAAAAAGATAAAGCTTTAGAAAAGTACATTTTGTTTATATTATGTTATGAATTTTGCAATTTTTGATTTATATAAAACAACAATGAGTAAATATTTGTGTCCGTTAATTATTAAAAATTTTTTAGCAATTACCCTTTGGTAGATTAGGGGATAGATTTGGCAATCATCAAATCAGCAGTTGCCAGATTACAACAGATGTTTGTATATAATCTCGAAAGAAACAAATACCTACTCGTTATTGCTTCATATAACTTAAAAATTGCAGAATTCATAAAATAATTTCATCAAAATGTACTTTTTAAAAGCTTTATCTCTTTATATTTGAAGCATACAACAGATGCATTATAAAAACATTGCCAAACCGAAATATTTTTGACATTTCCGGTTATATTCAGCTTGTACTTTCGGTAAACTCAACCGATTAAATTACTATAAATTTAGTAACTTTAAAATTAAACATTTCTAATTTGATGCTCAGATTTGTAAATCATTTTTGTTTTGATATTCAAAGCGTAAACACTCGTTATGCGTAACAAAAAGGAAGATTGTGATTTTATAATGCCTAAAACAACCAGTGCTTCAACTTGGATTAAACCTTATAAAGAGCTGTCTATGGATATGGGAAAAATCTACTATTCAGTCTGTGGCAAAATTGTAAGTATCTAATATTTTCTATTAAATATCTAATATTTCATACATACAGGGTGTTTCTAAATGACACTTACAACGTTTGACTGTAGATACTTCTCGAAAAATTGAACAAAACGATATAGTTAATGAGGGGTCAAACTTATTTACTTTTCGAGATACAGGGTGTTAAAATTCAAAAAAATTAAATTCTTTTAGTTAATAACAACAATAACTTTAAAACCAATAATAGTTCATTGTTTACCGGGTAGGAAAAGCTTAACATTCCTGGACGACTGTGAAGTTAGCAACACAGAGTCCAGGAATGTGGCTTTTCCTACGAGGTAAACATACTATTTTTCCGCAAATCGTTTAAAATTCGACAGATATTGATTGATTTAAAAAAAACGCGATAATTTTATTCCCAAATAAATGGTGCTTTGAAATTCCTAATAAAATTACTTGGGTTACTATGGAAACGTATTGAGGTTGAATTGTCAAAGTTTTCTATCATTTATGTAGAACACTAACAACTGTACGGAAATATCATTTCCTTACAGTAAGGAAATGACATTTCCTTACAATAAGAAAGTCCTGACTTTTTCTTCAAGAAATTTTGACAGGAATGTCAAAATTTCCTGGCGATTTGCGGAAAACGTATTTACTTGAAATTTAGTACTCGTAGGTTGTTTTTAAATGAAAAATAGCTTCCTTTAGTGAGAAAAAATTGTCCATTGTACAATACAATGGTGTGTATTTAGAAAAATTTTTCACCTTTACTTTTTTTTATGAAGTCGGCTATTCTAAAACACAATTATTTTTATTGTAATTGAATTAACAAAAAAAAACTTTTGTTGAATTTTAAAATAAGTTATATGATGTACTAATGGTTAGTAACAAAAACTAATTTGTGGATTAATACTGCATTTAAAACACTTAGCGAGTGTTTTTTTTCAAACCAGTTATTTGATTAACCAAAAACACCTTGTATATTTTTATATTTTAAAGGTTGGGTTAAAATAAAGGTTTTTATTTTAATTTATATAGATAGCATGTGAGAAGAAATTTCAGATAGATAGTGAGAACTGCTTCACATATTGCAAAAAAAAGGAAAAATAGGAGAAAAACATCAAACTTCAATGGCTAAATGTTTCCAATCTACTTCAAAAAAATTAGATGAGCAAGAAACTTTTAATGAAGACTTATGTCGCGCATTAGTGTCTGCAAACATACCGCTTTCAAAATTAGCAAATGTAAATTTTAGTTCGTTTCTAAAACAATATTGCAAACTTAATGTTCCAAGTGATCGGTCTCTAAGAAGAAATAATGTGAACGGGCTATACTCGTCGGTGTTAATTAATATTAAGGAAGAAATTGCAGATAATTATTTTTACATATCTGTAGACGAAATCACTGATTCTTTAGGAAAGTATATTGCTCATTTATTGATTGGTGTTCTTAAAGAAGATACCTTACCAAAATCTCATCTTATTTCATGCCAGCAACTTGAGAAAACAAATGCTTTAACAATTTCGCGTTTTATACAAGAAACATTAGCAACTTTTTTTTCTTCCGACAACTATTCCTTCTAATAAATTACTGCTTATTTTATCGGATGCTGCTCCTTATATGGTGAAAGCAGGACAAAATTTAAAAATATTTTTCCCAGATTTAATACATGTTACTTGTGTAGCTCATGGATTAAACAGAGTTGCAGAGGAAATACGAAAAAAGTTTCCTCTTGTAAATACCATGATATCCAGTGTCAAAAAAGTAATTCTTAAATCTCCTATAAAAATTCAACTTTATAAAGAAATGCTACCTAACATTCCTCTTCCACCACAACCTATTTTAACGCGATGAGGAACATGGTTAGAAGCAGCTAATTTTTATGCAGATCATTTTGTTAAAATAAAGAACATAATTAATACGTTAACATATGAAAGTTCCCAATCTCTTTTGGATCCTAAACAAACTTTTCAGACTAGCTTGCTTCAACAAGAACTTTAATTTATAAAATCAAATTTTAGTTTTGTTCAAAAAACAATTACTCAGTTAGAATCACCAAAACTGTCATTGTTCGAAAGTACAGCATTAATAAAAGAATTTGCGTCATGTTGTCGGAACGTTAGAGGTAATATTGGAAAAGATATTTTAAAAAAATTTGAAGCTACTATGGAAAAAAATAAAGGTTACCATATTCTTTCTGAAGTAGTCAGTGTTCTAGCTGGAAATATTTCGGAAGCAATTAATTTAGAACCAAATGTTTTGGTTAGTTTGAAAAATGCTCCCGTTACATCAGTTGATGTTGAACTAAGTTTTTCCATATATAAATATATGTACTCAGACAGAAGCCACAAGTTTTTGTTAGAAAATTTTGAACACCACTTGGTCATTTATTGTTACCATAATTCTAAATAAGTTTATTCATACTTAAAAATGATGTAGTTACTTAAAATAAATGTAAATCTTAATGAATAGTAGGAAATATTTAGTTATGTACACTTTTTTTTTAAACAAAATTGTTACTA